GCTGAGGCTGGGCCGAGCCCGGCAGCTGGAGATGAGGTCAGGCAAGAGGTCGGGGAGGCGGCGGTTGTTGAGGCGGATGTCGGCAGGCACGTCCTCCTTGTCCTCATCATCCTCAAACTCATACTCCTGGGCATAGGTCTTCTTGGGTGGCTGGAAGGGCGGCTCCCGCTTCTTCAGTAGGTGGAAAGATGAGGTCTTGAGCAGCTTCTTGGGCTTGGAGGAACAGAAGATGGGCGAGGTGAGGCCCGGCTGCTTGGTGCCACCGTCAGGGGCACCCCCGTGCCCACCCTGGATGAGCCCCAGCTGCTCTGTGTTCACGGTGGATGGCAGCTCATGTTTCACTGCCACTGACTCCAGCCCCAAGTGCTGGCTGTCTCCCCCCTCCGGTGGGCAGTAGCTCTGGTAGCCCTGCCCAGCTGGCATCATGTCGTAGCTGGGGGCTTTCAAGCCTTCAGGCCGCTCCATATTGGGGGGCTCTTCCTCGGGGCAGCCGGACTTGGGGAACTCATCAGGGCCGCAGGCTGTGGGGCCAAACATGTCCTCCATGCCGGGGAAGAAGCTGCGGTCTTCGTCTTGCAGCAAGGAATCAGGGAAGCAGATGGACGTGAGAGGCACGAAGCGCTGCTTGGAGCCCTGGGGGCTGCCACTCTCAAACTGGTCCTTGCCCTCCATTTGGGGTTGTGGCACCTGTTGGGAGGTGTCGGGGTCCAGGCCGGCATCGGGGAGCAGGTGTGACTGGGGTTGGACCCCAGCCCCTTGGCCCAGATGGGACTCCAAGCTCAGCTCAGGTTCCAAAAAGTCTTGGATCTCCTGGGGCTGGGAGAGGCCCCTCATGGCATCGCCCTGAGGCATCACCTCCATGCCTTCCGGTGGCAGCTGGGCCTGGAGCTGGGGTGACTGCTGGGGCTCCAGGCCTTGCGACCGGACGTGGGCCTGGTGGAGGTGGGCCTCCAGTGCCTGGAGCTGCAGTTGGGGTGAGGGGGCCTCAGGCGGGTGCATGCGCTGCGACTCCAGCAGGTGGACATCCAGTGGTGTCCGCACCTTGCTGCGGGGGTGCAGCTGGCTCTGGGTGTGTGTCAGCACTGACTGCAACAGCTGGGTTTGCTGCGGCTGCTGTGGTGCCTGCTGGGGTGGCGGTGGATGGGGCAGGGACAGCTGGGGCAGGTCTGGTGGCGAGTCCATCATCAGCGGTGCCCCCTGCTGCCCAGGCAGCAGCCCATGGGGCTCCATGGGTGGGGGCTCGCCCACCATGCGGTGGGACTGGGGGGCATGCTCAGGGGTCTTCTGCATGTAGGAATGGGCCTGAGCCATGTCTTTACCCCCCGTGTCCAGGTGGCCACCTTGGAGGTGCTCCACTGACTTCTTGATGTCCTGGGCATAGGAGTCTATGGAGCCAGCCTGGTGGCTGTAGTGAACTACCGAGGTAGCCAGGGACTCCGGGGTGGAGCGGGCATGAGGATACTCCTTGGCCCGCTCCCCTTTCTTCTTGTCCTTCAGGCCCTGCAGAGACAGCTCCAGGCCCTGGTTGTCCAGGTTGGAGTTGGTGCGGATGACGCTCTGGAGGTGGTACCTCTCCTCTGACTTGCTCAGCCCCCCATAGCCCAAGCCCTTGGCACCCCTCTCCTCACACTGCACCAGACCCTCAGCTGGCACCCGGGGCGGGCTCTGGCTCTGCAGCAGGTGCTGGATGAGGAAGTCCTCATCCTCTGTGCGCTCGGTAGACAGCAGATCTGAATCTGCCTTGGCCTTGCTGTAGGAGGGTGCCCGCTCTAGGGTGGCCTGGGAACTGCCATAGCTCTGCCCATGGCCTGGCTGCATGAAGGAAGGTGACAGCACTGAGCTCAAGTACTTCTGGGACTGTCCGGGTGAGGCCACACTCTGGGGCCGATTGGCTGTGGGTGACTGGAGTGGGCGGATGATCTGGGATGGGCTGGACTCAGGCAGGGTCTGCCCATGGCTGTAGCCAATGGGCTGGGCATGGCCTGGCATTGCTGGGGAGTGCCCAGTGCTGTAGCTGAGTGAGGGACTGGCAGTGGGTATGCCCTGCGAGTGGGCCGGCACGTAGCTGGGTGTCTGGCTGACCGAGACGTGGGGCTCTGTCTGCACGCTGTAGCCCACTGAGGACAGCCCCTGCAGCTGCTCAGGGGAGTACGTCTGGGTCTGGCTCCCACATGTCTGCAGCCCCTGCCCACCTTGCCCGCCCTGCCCGCCAGGCTGTGCCTGTCCCGTGGGGTAGCTCTGTGCCTTGCTGACATTTGTCAGGTCTTGCGCTTGGCTGGTGCTGAAGCCCTGGGAGGCCTGCGAAGCCGAGGAGAGGTTCTGGGGCTGGCTGACTGAGTAGCTTTGGGGCTGGGTCATGGACAGCAGGCTTTGGGGTTGACCTGGGGAATAAGCCTGGGACTGGCTGGCGATGACGGAGCTGGGCTTGGGGGTGGATGAGGTGTAGCTGCTTTGGCACTTGGGCGTGGCGGTGGAACGCGGGGTCTGGCGAGAGGCTGAGTAGCTCTTGGACTTGGAGGAGGAGCCACCAGCTGCACTCGAGTACCCAGGCGACTGGATGATGGGCCGATACGTCTGTGAAGGCTCCTGGCGCTGGGCCTGGGGGGTCTTCTGCTGCTGTTGCTGCTGCTGCTGGGAGCTCTCGGAGCTGGCAGGCGACTGGTCACCCAAGGGGCTGCAGGAGAGGCTGGAGCGATGGGGCATCTGCTGGTAGCTGCCTCCACAGCTCAGGTAGTGCTGGAGGGAGTGGGCAGCTGGCAGCTGGGGCTGGGCGCTGGAGGGGCGCTGGTAGTGCTTGATGACGCTGTCCTGGCGGGGGATGGCACGGTCCATGGAGGAGGCAGGCGAGCTGGAGAAGACCGAGGCATTGTAGAGCTGTGAGGTCTGGTCTGAGGGGGGCCCCAGGGAGGAGGAGAGCAGGTTGAACTGAGATGGGAGATGCCGGGAAGCTGACTCCTGGGCACTGCGGTAGGCTGAGCTCTGGGAGGGCAGGCCAGTGCCAAGGACAGCGCTGCCCAGGCGGTCGAAGCTGAGGGATGAGGGCACGCTGGACTGTGAGGACTTGATGTGCAGCAGTGGGTCATGAGGGGACAGGAGCCCATTGGAGCTGGGGCTGAAGGCCGCGTCCTGCAGGGTGAGGGAGGAGCTGACCGGGAAGCTGCGCCCACTGAAGGAGGCTGGATGCTGGTAGGCCGAGAGCGCCGAAGATGATGGGAAGGTGCCGGACCCGGGGATGGCGCCCGAGATGAACAGCTCAGCGGGTGCCGGAGTGTGCATGGCTGGGGAAGCGGGGCAGGAAAGTGGGTTAGAGATAAGGGCAGCTCCCCACCATCCCACACTCACACACCTGGGCACCGCCTTCCCGCCCAGCCCCAGGGTAGTTGTGGGTCCCCCTAGCAGGGCTGTGGATGGGACTACCCAGGGCCTGGCTGGAGGGATGGGGGGAGCGCCCTTCTAATGGGGGGGGGGAGGGGGAGCGGGAGCAGAGCTCTGGGGACAGTGAGGGTATGGCTAAGGGGATCTGTGGAAGGAGAGGGTGGAGGTGGGAGGAGCCATGGAAAGTAGGTGGGGCCAAGGGCCCAGCTGTGGAGCAGTGGGGCTAAAGAGTTCAGCTGGAGAAGGGTGGGGCTTGACTAGGCAGCCTAGACCAAGGGGCAGGGCTGGGTGTCCAGGTGGGGCCAGGGCTTGAGTAGTTAGCCAGGGCAGGAGGGGGTGAAGTTGGATGTTCAGCTGGGGGCAGGGCTTGAGTAGGCAGCATATGGGGGAGGAGCAGGGCAGGAGGGGGTGGAATTTGAGTAGGTCTCTTGTCTCCATGGGTCTGACCTCCCGCCACACATACCCCTCACCCCAAAGGTAACCACCCCCCAGCCACTGCCCCCTGCCATCAGGTACCTGTTTGCCAGGAGGGGGTGCGGAACTGGGACAGCAGCGAGGAGGCTGAGGGGCCAGGCTGGGGTGCCCGTGACTCCAGGGCCGAGATGAGGTTCATGACAGAGGCATCTGGGGTGGCACTGCTGGCGTGATGGAGCCCTGTCTCGAAGAGCCCGGACAGGCCTGGCATGGGGGATAGGTAGGAGGAAGTAAACAGAATGAAGATGGACGGATGGACAGGGGGCACAGTAGGGCGAGAAGATGGACAGACAGAAGGCAAGAAGCCTGAGGGATGGACAGACAGACTAGCCAGGGAGACTGACGCAAAGACAGGGCAGGGAGCTGCACCTCACAGGAGGCAGGGAGAAACAGGGAAGTGGGACAGACGGACAGTTAAGCCCAAATGTGCAATGCCATGATGGGAGGAGGACCAAAGAGCTGGGGGAGGGGAGACAGACGCACGGACAGCAGGAGGAGAAGCAGACAGGCAAAGGGGTTGCCAAGAAAGCCAGGGGGAAGAGGGGGCCTAGACAGACAGAGGGATAGCTAAGGGCAATAGGGAAAGGCATAGAGGAGGTAAAGGGACAGCCAGATGTGGGGGAGCAGGGCAGGGGCATACCTGCGGGGTGGTGGTTGGTGGCATAGCCCTGCAGGGGGTGGGGGGCAGCGTACGCCTGCCGGTGCAGGATGTCTGTGTCAGGGTGCGACGTCCGGGACCCACCATACACCAGGCTGGGGTGGGACAACAAGTGAGGGAGACTGTAAGCGACACACATGGCCCCCAAACACCACCCAGCCCAGGCCTCCCCTGCTACCAACTCTCTCCCTGCTGCTGGGGTGTAACGACTTGAGCAGGTCTCAGCCCAGGTGCCCTTTGTCCCCAGGAAAGACCCACAGGCTGCTAGGCCAGGCCAGGCAGACAGCCCCCACCCCTGGGGTTAAGGTCACAGGAGAGGGGAGTGAGCGGTTCTAGCTGTCCTTCCCCAACAATCTGGGAAGGTAGGAGACAAGGTGTTCGATACAGTGGGAGGAGGGGTGGGGGGGAGTTCACAACACTTAGCCCCACCCCTGTGACCATGGGGCTCCGCCCCCAGCATCACACAGAGCAGCATCCTGGGTGTTGGGGACACCAGTGGGGCATTCTGGGAAACAGAGTTTGCAGCTTCAGCCCCTCCTTTTCTCCCCCCACACCTCTTCCAGCCCTAGTTTGGTGCCCCTCACTGCTGGCCTCCAGCCCCCTGCCCACCCCGGGCTCTTTCC